CCTTAAAGGACGTGGCATACAGGCCATAGCGTCCCTGATTTCTCATCCGGCGTCGGTTGGACTTTCTGAGCGTTATGTACAAATGATCCTTTCTGTCTACCGCAAGATTCTCCAACAGCAACCTCATCTAATCTATATTTGGGATGATTTGCTTCCACATGTGGTCAACATCATCAACACCTGGAAGGTTTCGGTTTATGGTGTGTCACCGGCAGAGTTGCTGTTTGGGTTCAAACCTAGGTTTGTCCCTGGCGATCTCTCCATCGACGAGGAACTCCGCGCGGAATTGATTTCGCAGCCGCAATTCGTTCCTGCGTTTGAGCATGAGCCTAATGTCTCTGCAGTCGGTATTCGCCTTGCTAAACTAGATGAGCTCCGTGACATGGCAATGCAGATCCGCCTCCGTCGTCAACTCAAACAAGCCAAGGAAACTGCACAGGAATTTGCTGCCAAGAATCACCACATCCAGGAGCTGGCGATGAACTTCAGCTTCGAGGATGGGGTGCCAGCCGGGTTCATCTCTATAGAGGGGTTGGGGAGCCTAGAGGGGCAGGTTGGGCATGGTAGGAGGAGAGAGGAGGAGGCGGAGGAGGCGGAGGAGGATGAGGAGGAGGAGGAGAATTGGGGGAGGGGGCCAAAGGGCCGTATATTATTGTAGAATAGTGTAGAATAGTAAATGACACACCTATGGGCAATTACCTTTGTTTATTGTGCTGTATATTATGATTAGAAATGTGATGTGAAATCTTACGGATAGTTAAGGATAGGTTCTTAAGGATAGGTGACAACAACACCCTCGTAGACAACCGTAGATGGCCGTAACAGAACAGAAACACCCTCAAAAGTAGACATTAGAGGCTAAGAAGTAGTATAGGACGTACGTCTAATTGATTCCAACTAAAATGTGAGGATACACCACATTCTGGGTAGTATTATCCTCTCCTTCAGGGAGTAGGACCTGTAGTCCAGCTATGACGTCCGTGACATTGCAACATAAAACTGCCCATGACTAAACATAGCTGCCCATAGATCAACACCTACATGCTTAAACGACTGGCCTTGAGGCTTATAGAAGTCACAGGGGAGACGGGTTTCTGAGAATGGGCACACTATGCTTATGATTTATGGCTAATAATGCTTCATGAATGTGATGAGTGGACTGAGGCTAGGGGAAAGAGCTTATTTGTATGACACGAGATGTAGAAGAGGCTGTTGATTTCTTCTTCCTCAATTACTTACTGTTATTCAAGTTCTTTCAACGTCTGTCATGTGTGGCAAGTTGATATGTGGAGAACTGATTTAAAAAGGGAGGAGAGAAGAGGAAGGGGGTGCTCGAGAATATTAGGCCAATCGGTAAGGAGAAATAATGGTGTTGAAGTGTGGATTAGTGTAAGGACAGTTCGAACCGAGGCTGACCTTCAAGTCTGCAGAAGTATCCGAAGTATAATGTGAAGACTTCGATACTCGAAGCAGTAGGACAAGGTATAGTAGTTCAGGCTCCAAAGCATATACTTTATACCACAGGGGTCAAGTGGTGAGACTAACAGGTTGGCCAAGTGGTTCGACTCGAAGTAAGGGAATGCAAAGTAAGTCGAAGCAGGAGGAATTGCAAGAAGGCCAAGTAGTATATAATTTGCTAGCTAAAGATCAATAAGAGACATGAGCAATAAGTGCTTATATAACAGTAAAAATCCCTAGTGCCAAATAAGCGAAGGCACTAATTAACTGAACCCTAGCTAAGCGAGCCCTAGTGCAGCAAGCCAATAACAAGAGAGCCTAAGCCAGTAGTCAACATTTGGGCTGATCTAGGTCAGCAAGTGAAGCGAAGTGAGCGAAGTGAGTGAAGCAGGTGAAGTGAATGACATAGTGAAATAAGTACTAGAGACTAAAGCGAATCGAAGGGTCGTGACACAAATATCGAAGGAGTGTCATGACAATTAGATGTTCGGGAGTCGGAAATTCGCAGAAGCAAATTCCACAAGGTCAGAGAGTGAAGAAGGTGAGGAAAGGTCATGGAGGGTGAAGCTTGTCTCTTGAAATGAACAGATTGTGGAAGGACATGACCTTCCTCACAGCTACAACATTGCATTTACTCTTGAGATCGCACAACAACTCTAGAACTGACTGAAACTAAATCCTAAGTACGGCAAGCTGAAGTTGTTCTGTTCACCACCATATTTCGGAGTCCTCAACACACTCACTCAAGTTCATTTCAGCTTTTTCGACATGTATCAGGTCATAAGGATGGCGGAAGGTCAAGTGGATGACAACCTCACTAGTGAAATGAAGAAGCAGAGATTCAACGCACAACGAAATGTCAACTCAGAGAATCACGAGAGTGACATGGTGTTCAAGGAGTTCATGAACCTTCGATCTTTATGGGCAAAGGTTACACAGATGAACAGGGTACAACAAAATGGAAACCATATGGAGCAAAACTGAGCGCAGGAGACAAAGTTGACAGTGGAGGAGAAGGACAAGGAGATCGAGAAGCTCAAGGCCTGTATTTGCGACAACATGCATCAGAGTCAGAAGGAAATGGAGGAACTGGTGTGTTCGTTTGAAGAGATTATTGAGACCGAAGCGGTGGAGAGTCTACGGTTGATAAACCAGAACCAGATGCTAAAGAAGCAACGGAATATGGCTGAAGGGGTTGATGAGCTTGCTTGAGTTGGTCGGCTGTTAAGTAATCATTTAGGAACTTCTGTGAGCGGGCTTTCAGAGGATTTGCGATCACGCAAAGGACGAGACAACGTCAATGATATTATGGAAGGGAGTGCAGGATTTGCTTCACGCGATGAGTTGCTGTTTTGCAGAGTTAGGGCTCTATTTTAGGGCAAAGGAATCAGAGGGCAGAGACCTAGGAGGGGGTGGGTGTACAGTGTTTGCTTAGTCACCAAAACTTAGTTTAGCGAGCGGGCATCATTATTGTAAGGATCTTCAATGAACAGGGCGGTACAAGGTCATGTTCTAATGTAAGGATCTTCAATGAACAGGGCAGTACGAGGTCACGTTCTTCAATCATATACGCATTTATAGATCCTGTAGATTACAGAGACTGAACGCTGACCTTTCTCTGAAGGTCCGCGTTCCTACTATATACTACGGCTTCACGTGTTCTTTGGCCGGACGTTCCTCCATCCTGGCACTGTAGCTCACGTGTTATGACCCCGCACGTGATGCGTTCGTGACAATTATCCCCCCCTTTGAGGCTCAAGCCCCTTTGAGCCCTGGGTATTAATCGTAGTTGTAAGGAGCGCATTTGCAGAGTGTAAGATCATTCCATCTAGGGGGGAACTGTTAATAAAGACTTGGTCAAAAATATCACACTAATAGGGTGTTTTTAGTCGGTCAACCTCGACTAATGGCTCATCATTAAGCAGCATATGCAACGCTCGCTAGGGATTAAAAGGAAACAAGCTAGTGCCACGGTATGCTAACTTAATGTTCTGATGGTTGCATACATCAAGCCGTGTCTAGATGTATGCCTCTATCCATTTATACTCCTATATGCGCGCAAACCACTGTTGAATTATTTACAGTTATCGAAGTAGGCAGGGCAAATTCACCGCGTTACGCCATCCCCTGCATTATGCCATGACTTACGATACAGTTTAGTTAATAGGTTTCCTTATTCCGTTTAGTTCAGTTTTAGCTTATAAGAACTGTAGTCCTATAGTTTAAACTATATAGTTTAAGACAATGTCTCACTTTGTGTAAAGGACATAGTTACCCTTAAATATTAAAGTGTTCTCTAGGAATTGAACTTCGTTTTACAGATCAATTCATTTATAATGTCTTCTTAAGTTTCTTCTAATGAGTTATCTATTGCGAGTGAGAATCTAAATAAAGATACACTTATTTCAACAGCTTCCACCACATTAGCGCTAGCTTCTTACAAACACAAACACAATACTTCTTATAGGTCTTATGTATGGAATCATTTACCTGATTCTAAAGGTGGATGAGATACAATTTAGACTAACAATACTAGAGAATCAATATGGATGTAGTGATGTACAATTATGTGCATCTGGGTTAAGCGCATGATGCACTACACCAAATGCACATAATTAACGGCTTCCCTCATAGCTCTCATAGGAGAGAGTAGCTATGTTATACGATCGAGCGAAAGATACGCCGTCATAGAAAGCCTCCTCCTGACTACCATCAGATAGTGGAAGCAGCACTGATTACAAGACGAGTGTAGGGCACACTAAGCAAGCGACTACTTTGAATGTAAGAGCTAGGAAAGCTAGATTCGACACCATAAGGGTGTGTAAGCGGTCAACACCACCATAGCGATGGTGCGTAGGTAGCAGGTAGCAAGCATGGTCATACTGTAGATAGGATGGGCTAGGGAAGAGGGATAGGTAGAGACTTGGGTTATTAGGTACTATAAGGGCAGGGGCAATAGGGGCACTTAGGGTGAGCATTTGCCATAGTACCACTGTATAGCGTAAGGGCTGTGTTAGAACTATGTTCCTAGAAGTACGCTACATCGTGTAGTCTGTATACCACTAGGCAGTATATATATGGCTTCGCACCTATAGTTTACTTAATTAAGTCGTTAAACTCCAAATTCGTGCTTAACAGGTTTGATTGCGCTACATCCCACTAAGCCAAAAAGACTATAGTATTCTAGCTTGGCGGAATATGTGTAACATGCTATATTACCATACATACTGTAATGGTCTGCACTGTTATAATGGAGGTGTAAGCTATCCCAAAAAGCTTACAAAGAGTTATAGGCACACAGAATATCACATAGCACCTTAAGATGCATAGTATCTATGAAGGAAAATATCAGTCTCTAGCTAGGCAAGCTACAATTTGCCATGCTTTTGAACGAGGTCAAGAAGCTTCCTACTTATGCTAGCATCTTAATTCTAATACTAACAGAGCTACATTAGACCCTAGAACGCTAGAGCGATTTGTTATTCGTTAGTGTTACGGCTACAGTAACATGATGTCATGGTTACAGGGCCAGGGCCTAGTAACGTGACGTGTGAGTCACAGTGGGAAGCGGGGTAGGCTGCCATGTGACGGGGCTAATGGATAGTTGCAGAAACTAGTGGATATTGGATAGTTGAGCTATCCACGAACTATCCTGAATATCTAGCTATCCGCCAACTATCCAGATTACCCATGAGGCACGACGCCACTATATAAGTAGATAGTATTTCCTTAGATAGGAGCTTCATGCTCAACTCAATATAGTATTCTTACAATACTGTAACGTGTTACTTGGAAAGCCTTTGTGTCTAATCCCTGCCTCCTCTGTCAAGTCAACCTTACGCAAGAAACCTCTGTGTCTTCTATCGTTAGAAGTCAGCGTTACACTTTGAGCACCACTTCTACGAGGTACCGCCTTACACACAAAGCAACATGGCTGGAGACGATACTGGATCAAATGTTGGATTGAAGGGGAAGGTTGCTACTGAACCTACCATCGAAGCCCCACAGGCTCACCCTTCAGACAAGTTGAAGATTGCATTCCCAGACACCTTTCATGGGGATGGCAAGAAGCTTAAGAGCTTCATCATCCAGACGGAGCTATGGATGGCGTTTAACGCCAAACACTTCAACAAAGAAGTGGAACAGGTCCTATGGGCTGTGGCACCTTTCGAGGACCAGCCTCAGAATGGATCTCTAACT